ATTCATAGCCTGTTCACATATATTGGCTAACCCAGAATAATGTAGTGTGAAGGAATGACACCCTTTGTGTGTAAAAAAATTGTGTCAGATAATTTGAAAAACAAACACTGATAGAAACTGCACTTTAAAAAAAAGATAAAAAGGTAAAATACTTCTTGGCACAGCGTGCGGTGCTTCCAGAATAAATCTTAGTTCTTTAGCTATGTGGAAATTTGGGGGAAACTGAATTTATCACACTGTTTTAATTTTATTGCACATTGTGTAATGTGAATCTGCTTATTCTGTTAATTCTAAGAACTGAATGCTTCGGACATACACCTGTCTTTGATAATTGTCCCACAATTTAGCTGTTCTTTGGCCAGGACTAGCTCAGTGCAGCCAAGATTTGACACTAAAGCTGGAAGTAGATGGCAGAGTCTGGCATTTCAGTGTCTGAAATTTCTGAGGTCTGTAAACAACATTTGTTAGTAGAGAGCAAGAGAGCAAGTTATTTCATTCTATTGTTTCAAATGTGTGTTACCAATGAAAATTAACTCAATTGTCTCCATGTTAGATGAGAATTAGTAACACTTTCTCTTCTCTAAAAAGATTCCTTACATGGCTGTTTTTTGTCTCACATTCAATATTCACCTGAAAACCTCAGGAACACTAAGATGGTCATACACCTTTAAAAAAACCCACAAAACTTTTCAATATAGGGTCTCAAATAAGTAGCACATGTGTGCAATTACATGGCAATACAACAGGGAGAAAATATGATATCATAGAACAGTGATGTTGGAAGGGGCCTCTAAGGCTGTCATGAGTTCAGCCGAATTAGAATCACAGACAGCTGAACCACCACCAGATTCTCCTCCCCCACTAGCCAGAGTGAGGGACAAGCTTTGGCAGGAACTCATAACGTGAAGGCTCGCATGAATACTTCCCACAGGAACATCAGGTCGACTGAGTTTTAGCAGGATTGAGTGTTTTCTAGGAATTAGAAAATCTGTGCAGGTGATGAGTGGAAGATGGCTTTTGGGATTCCTTATGCCCAGCATGAATGCCTTTTGGCCTGACTAACTCTCCGGCCATATTCCAGCGGTTCATGAATGTCATCTTCCAAGACCTGTTTGATCGCTTTGTGATCATCTATTTGGA